ACAGACAGGGTAACTTCCACACAGCATTATGCAGCTGATGAAAAGATAATGCCGCTCGCCTGATTTGGAGTGAGACCTCTGCTGTCAAACCGGAACAAGTCATGAGCACACTGCTCAAGTATGGGAAACTCTCCACAACTGCCCCATCACCAACCGGGAGCCGTGGGCGCAGAGTGTCCAACGGCACAAAACACCCTGGTGGGGCCGACGGCAAGGCCCACCTCTCAGTGGCATGCTCCAGGTTCAGCAGCAGCGCCTCCAACTCCTCATCTGAGTGAGCAGCAATTACCAGATCATTGGCATACATAACATGGTTGACCAATAGGGAGCCATCCCTTGACCGCGCCCGGGCATCAATCAGCTTCCCATTGTATCTGGACCAGATGGAAATTCCTCCAGTACAGCCATCGAAGGCTTCACGAACTATGTGGTGGAAAAAGATGTTAAATAATGTGGGAGCAAAAGGACATCCCTATCGCACCCCAAGGTGAACAGGGAATGGCTCCGACTCCCGGCCACATAGTTTTTAATGATCGTGAGCAAAGGGTCAGGGACACCAAAAGCACGAATAATAACCCAGAGCCCAGGCCTACTGATGATATTATAGGCCTTGACCAGGTCAATAAAGCAGAGATGTAGGTCTTGTTGGAATTCGCTACACCTCTGCTGTAGCAGGACAGAAAATATGGCATCTGTGCAGGACGGCCCCTTCCTGAAACCGCACTGGGGCTCCTCAAGCCTCTCCTCAGCGTGCCTGGCAAGGCGATGTTGAATAATCCTTGCCAAGACCTTTCCCGGCACATTGAGGAGTGAGATGCCCCTGTAGTTGTTACAGTATGTGCGGTCCCCCTTCTTCTTAAAGAGGGGGACCACCAGGGCATCCTTCCAATCCTGTGGAACCCGGCCGGTGGTCTAGACTGTTGTTATGATGTCATGTAGGGCAGTCTGTGCACAAACGCCACCCTCCCTCAGCATTTCGCTTGGGAGATCATCACTGTCCGGTACCTTTCCTGATCTCAGACTCCGGATCGCCCTCTGTACTTCCTCAACAGATGGCACCTCAGCCAGCCACTGATAGGGGGTGACTTCTTCCAATATTTGAGACACCGCAGCCTCAGCAGGGTCATCCCCACTTTGTCCCACAATGTTTTCCAGGCTGAGGGATTTGCCCTCCCCCAGAACCTCACATGATGGTAATAGGTGTGGCGCTGCAAGTTACTTTTTTATGGAGTTAAAGAGCGATTTGTGTTCGCAGGCCATTGAGGCAGACTCCATCTCCTCAGCAACCCGTGACCACCACCCATCCTTGCAGCGCCTCACGGCTCTCCGAACCTCCGAGCAAAGGCTGCGGTAAGCCTCCTCATTCTCTGACATGGCATGCTGTAAACGATGAGAGTGGGCCTGTCGCTTTTTCTCAGCCAGCCTGAATACCTCTTCTGTCAGTCAGGGTCTCTGGGGAGGCCTGGACCGTGTACCCATGGCAGCCATTGCAGCTGCATGAGTCACAGTCCTAAACCTCGCCCATTTACCCTCGACATCTGGAGGAGTGGGGGACGATGCCAACCCCAGCCCCAAGCGATGATCAAATTCTCGCTTGCAACTTTCATCAGCTAGCTGAGACCAGGCCACTTTGTGTTTGAATGGTATACTGGGTAAACACCCACCACTGGAGTGGAAGAATGGCAGGCGCATCTTACAGATGACAAGTCGATGGTCAGTGGGCAGATCAACTCCACGGTAGGTCCTGGTGTCAAGGACATGGGCCCGCATCTGCTGTTCCGTCACTATGTAGTCCAGCAAATGTTTTTGCTTGGACCCGGCATGCAACCATGATGTTGTGTGGATGTGCCGATGCCGGAACAGCGTGTTGGTAATCACAAGCCCATGGGCTGCAAAAAAATCTAGCAGCCTACTACCGTTGTTATTGAGCAGATCTGGTCCATGCCTTCAAATCATTCCAGACCAGGTGCCAGCATCATGACCAACTCGGGCATTGAAGTCGCCCAACAAGATGACTCTATCCCGAGGGGGCACTTTAGCTAGCACCTGTGAAAGGAGGTCATAGAAGACATCTGACTCATCGGCCTTGCCTACATCCCTCCACGGATGTTCGTCTTCGGTGGGGGCATAAGTAACCACGACCACAACTCCTCGCTTCTGGTTGATGGGAAGGTGAGTCCAAAGTAGCCTGGAGCTTACCGCTTCCCACACCTCACCGCCACGCTCCCACACCCTTCATTCTTTTGTTCAGAAGAAGAGCCACTCCCTGTTGTTTGGCAGTCTCCTGCCCCGAGTAAAGGACTGTCCACCCCTCATGGTGGCAGGAGCCAGAACCGGTCCACTGGACCTCCTGAATACCACAGAGATCCAGGCGGTACCGGTCCAGCTCCTGTCAGAGGAGTGGCAGCCTCTCCTCCGCAGTGAGCATTCGAACATTCCACGTGGCCACCCGTAGTGTTTTTTTTGTTGTTTCTGGAGGAGCCCCAAGGGTAAAGATTCAATCTCCTGGCTCCGCCAATTGGGGTTTGGTGAGGAGACGTCATAGACGCCTGTCCCTCCGGAGCCTCCGGCACAAGCTTAATTAAATTTTTCAAACGTGATATGGTGTTAATTCATTGAAGGTGGAGGAGTTACCAGCCCCTCGCACCCGTCCAGAGCCTCCATTTGGCCGCTGTGGTGGCTACAAACGCCATGAGGGGAAAGGCCAATCGGAATTGGCCCTCGCCCCACAGCACTGCCCACCACAGCGTTGCCATTCGGCACCAACGAGGAGGTAGGGGGTTGTTTTTTCCGGACTCACCCCACACACACCACAATACACACATTCTACACACACACCCTACACACACCTCCTACACACACATACACCCCCTATACACACATCCTACGCACACACCCCCACACACACCTCCTAAACACATCCAACACACACACACCTCTGAGACACACACACACACTCCATGCACGCACTCCGCGTGCCCCCTGGGTTGTCGAATTTCGCACCAAACTCGCATCAAACTCGCACTACCAGAACGAGGGCTCGACTTGACGTGGCCTTTATGTTCTCCCCCGTTTTATTGTTTAATATTTTTGCGGTTTTCTTTGACATTACAATTTTTTGTCATCATCAAGTGTATGGCACGGGTTGACATTTTTTTCTCTCGATAACAGATCCACCACCCCTCCCCCCCCCCTCCCCTCTTCTCCTCCACCTCTTCCCCTCTCCCTCTCGACAGGAGAGCATCATCTTTTTTTGTTCATGCTGGAGGGATCCGATGAGCTGCGAAGCTCTTTTTCACAGGTGTTCAGTCGAAAAAACAGGTCTTTGCCTTCAAGGATCTCCTACCTTACAATGGGCCCTCAGCTATGATATAGTTTTGCATCAAACGAGGCACCATATATAACAGAGGAGGGGGGGGGACGACTTTGCCCACAAATATCTGGCAGTTCACCAGCATTGATTGGTTCAAGCTAAGGCCTGACTCTGCTGCTGATGAGACAGTGGATGTCTAAACCACTCAGGGGTTTTGCTTGTGCTGAACCAATGCTGCTGTAATTATGCACTCCCACCCAGAAGGCTGTGTGGCTGACGGGATGTGTAACGCACAGCTTGAGTGTTGACGTGGAGAGTAGGCCTCGGCAAGGTAAGGTAATTTATCCTTTTTACCGGGTAAACGGGTAAAGGGTAAAGGTGTCGACATGCCAAGGGGTAAGGTAAAGGGTAGGGTAAAGGTAGCATGGAAGAATTACCCGGTAGGGTAAAGGTAGCGCGAAGTATTACTCGGTAAATACCTTGTTTACCGCTTGCTAAAAGCTCCGTGGCGCAGTCTGTTGCCTCCATTTAAAATTGGAATCATCGAGAGTATTCTATATGAATAAAGTGCTCTACCTAGCATTTACCTGTTATAAACCTTTTTCATGTGTAGTACCCCAGTAATTACCCTGTAATCGGGTAATTTGTATGGGGCCTAGTGGAGAGACAGGGTGTGTGCGTGTGTGTGAAGGATGCGGCATTGTTTTGTGATCTTGACTGTTTTGTTATCATCGTCGGCAGCCGAGCACGACCGAGGGAATGAACTCACACCCAGTGGGGAGCGGTGGCGCAGCGGTCAGCGTGCCGCGCTACGAACCCGACGGCCCGAGTTCGATTCCCGCTGTCACGGCCACCAACACCGGTGACGATTATATGAACGGGTCCTGGGCCTCCGCTAGGTCAACTTAGGCTCCAATGAGTACCTGGTGCGGTGTGTAGTAAACATCGTCACTGGAGAGACAAAGGCGGCCGGGCGTGGTGTTGGCCACCCACCCCCACATGTGCCGTGCCAGTCTTCATAGGTGCTGCTACTCGCTAACAGCATTTGCCCCAAAAGTCTGTTAAGGCTATACGGGGGATCTTTGTCTTTTTTTTGGACCCACACACCGAGCGGCCCATCACAGCGAATCACCAGATAACCGGCCCTGTAACCAACCAAGTAACCGATACAATAACTAATCCGATAACTGAACCGATAACTGACCCTAGCACTGATCAAATATATCAACCCATAACAGACCAAATAACTGACCCCGATTACAAATCTGATAACAGCCCCCTCCCCCCCCCCCCTATAACAGACCAAATTAATGACCCGATCACCGACTCTACAACTAGCCGAATAACTGTCCAATAGCTGACCCGATGACCGGCCCGATGACTGATCCGATGACCGACTCGATGACCCCGACCCGATGAGTGATCCGATGACCGACCCAATGACTGATTTGATGACCGATCCGATGACCAATATGATGACCGACCCAATGACTGATCCGATGACCGACCCAATGACTGATCCGATGACTGACCTGATGGCCGACGTGATGGCCGACCCAATGACCAGCCCAATGACTGATCGGATGGCCGACCCAATGACTGACCCAATGACCGACCCGATGGCCGACCCAATGACTGATCGCCGATGGCTGACCCGATGACTGCGCGGCCGAGCAGAGCGACCCACCATGAGGATGCGGCGGTAGCTGTCGCGGTCGATGCCCCACAGCTTGAGGTCGGTCTTGGCCTTGACGGTGGCGGCGCGCGGCGTGCCGTAGATGAGCGCCAGCTCGCCGAAGCTGCCGCCCTCGCTGATGTTGGTCACCCACTCGTTCTTCACGTACACCTGTGGGGGCGGCAGGCAGCAGGAATAGCGGCAGCAGCAGCGGCCGTGAAACTCGCTGGGATTTTTTTTACGCAAGCTTTCACAAAAACAGGGGGAGAGGTGGTTTCAGCTGACAGGTTACCGGAGCCCTCACTGTGCCAATGGGCTCTTCGCTACCGACCACGCTACATACCCCACCATCCTATCCCCACCATCCGAGGGACATATGCCCCCTTTCATCGTGATCAGTGAACTTCTCCCCTCCATCATCGTGATCAGTGGACATCTCCCCCCCCTTCCTCACATCCCCCGTGATCGCCACTGACCACCACAAGGGTCTCTAAACGAGGGAGCCTCGTCGGTGCAGGAGGCGGCGCTGGCCCCAGGCCTCGTGGCCGAATTGAAGTTTGACCGTGACGGCAGAGACTTGGGGGGTAGGAAGGGGGCTCGCTTGGGGGGGGGGGGGGGGTGGTATAGGGAGGGGTGAAGGGAGAGGCTTCAATCAGGAGGGACCCCGAAGAAGGGGGCTCTCAGTCTTGATTTGAAGCTTTCGTGACTGCAGGAATCCATACTCTTTGGTTCTTTCGGTAAAGTCACGTAGGTAGAACTCAAGCGACCGTCTTCACGTGAGAAGACGGTCGCTTGTGTTGCGATCGAAACGTCATGATCAATTAATTTTCTATCTACGTGACTTAACCGAGAGAACCAAAGAGTAAGGGGGCTCTCGTTTGGAGACTTGGGGCCGAGAGAGGGACCCTCGTGGTTGGCGTCACAGGGTAGATGCTGCTAGAACACACAGGATTGGTTCGCGCACCCACGCTGAAGCAAGCAGTTGACACTGGTGTCAGGATTAGAGCTGGGGTTAGAGCTAGAAGGTTAGAGCTAGGGTTAGAGTTAGGGTTTGAGCTAGAGTGATAGAGCTAGGGTTAGAGCTAGGGTTAGAGTTAGGGTTAGAGCTAGGGTTAGAGTTAGGGTTAGAGTTAGGGTTACAGCTAGGGTTAGAGCTAGGGTTAGAGTGAGGGTTAGAGTTAGGGTTACAGCTAGGGTTAGAGCTAGGGTTAGAGTGAGGGTTAGAGTTAGGGTTAGAGTTAGGGTTACAGCTAGGGTTAGAGCTAGGGTTAGAGTGAGGGTTAGAGTTAGGGTTAGAGCTAGGGTTAGAGCGAGAGTTAGAGTTAGGGTTAGAGCTAGAGCTAGGGTTAGAGTGAGGGTTAGAGTTAGGGTTAGAGCTAGGGTTAGAGCGAGGGTTAGAGTTAGGGTTAGGGTGAGGTTGCGATGCATGTTTAATCCCGGGTCTCGGGGTGAGAGGTCGCGTGCCCGGTGAGCTCCATGGAATTGTCTGAAAATCTTTAGAAGGGCAGAGCTGGGGGCAGCAACGCGGAGCGGAATAACCCAGACCCCTCCTTGAAGCTCCGCATTACGGCTGAGGCTCACGTGTGTGTGTCTGTGTGCACGTGTGTGTGTGTGTCTGTGTGTGTGTAGTGTAGCGGTTAGCGCGCTGCGCTACGATCTTGGCGACCCGGATTCGATTCCCGCTCACGGCCAACACCAGTGACGATTATATGAACCGGTCCCGGGCCTCCCCTAGGTCGACTCAGCCTCAAATGAGTACCCGGTGCGGTGTGTAAACATCGCCACGAGGGAGACAAAGGCGGCCGGGCGTGGTGCTGGCCACCCACCCCCTCGTGTACCGTTCCGGCCTTCATAGGTGCTGCTCGCTAACAGCACTTGCCCCCACACTGCCGCCGCCGCCGCCGCTCTGCAGCGCACCAGGCAGGCAACGCGACGACGTCTCTAAACCTGCCCACACCCTGAGATCCGTCGCGTCTCCTCCTCCTCCTCTCCTCCTGCCTGTCCGTCGGCCGCGGTGTAATTCTGCGCGGCGCTCGGGGCACGCGTGCACACGGCCAGGTTGACCGAGGAGACCGAGAGGTGAGAGAATCCGTCGGGCCGGCGGTTGGTGGGGGGGGGGGGTCACTGCCGTTACTCTGCTGCGCCTTCGGCCACAACAGAAGTTTCCCTCTGCGTGACCCCCTCCACCTGCCCCCCCCCCCACCCACCCACCCCCCGCGTCCACGACGGCGCTCACTCAGTTTGCTCGACACCCGGGCTCATTTAAGCTGCGCAAAGCGAGGTGCAAAGTGGTCTGCCGCCGCGATCACTTTCCCATTGGGGGGGGGCAGGTGGGGGGGGGGGGTAGTGGAGGCGCGAGGAAACCCGAGATGATAATTACGGAAAGGCATTCTGCGTCTGAATTTTCTTTTTTTTCTCGTCACTCGGTGGGTTGTTGTTGTTGTTGTTGCGTGGTTTCTCTTTTCATCGGGAGTGATTATAATTCGTGTGCGTGTGGAGTGCGCGAGCATTTGGACCCCCGACCCCCCCCTTCTCAGCTGGACCGGGGGGGGGGGGGGGGGGAAGTTACCTCGTTTTTTTTTTCCAACTATCCAGGCGTGCACTGGATAGTTGGAATAAAGGCCGTGGCTTTCCCCAATTGTGCGATGCCTAAAGCAGTGTCCTTACATTGCAAGGTCCGCAGGGCCACCGGCGGCCTCTGGTGGCCTGTAGTGCGGCCCCCCTGACCTGCGGCCCCCCTGTAGTGCGGCCCCCCTGTAGTGCGGCCCCCCTGACGTGCGGCCCCCCTGTAGTGCGGCCCCCCTGATGTGCGCCCCCCCCCCCGACAATACGACCAACGTGAGTTATTTTGTCTTGCAGGCGGTGTGGCGGTCTTTTTGGCGAAATTGGCTCCCCTTCTGGAAATTAGTGAGGAACACCGGCTTAAAGTGACAGACGGACGGATGTAAGCACAGTCACGCACAAAGATCCCCGTGTAGCCCTTAAGAGACTGTTGGGGCAAGTGCTGTTCGCGAGCACCGATGAAAGTCGGCGTGCCACGCAAGGGTGGTGGTGTGGCCAGAACCACGCCCGGCCGCCTTTGTCTCCCAAGTGGCGATGTTTGCACACAACACCAGTTACTCATTTGAGGCTGAGTCGACCTAGGGGAGGCCCATGACCGGTTCAGATAATCGGGAATCGAACTCGGGTCGCCGGGTTCGTAGTGCGGCGCGCTAACCAGCCACACTGCCGCTCCCCTGAAATATAACGACACGCACAGACTCGCACCCATTCTGCAGCGGCAGTGATGCCCACATTATCACGAAGCTCAAAGCGGGATCACTCGCGCAGCGCCGACCGGAAGCCGTCGTGCTTGTCGCAGCGCATTTAACCCAGCAAGCATCAGAGAGCGACAGCAGCATCAGAAACGGCACCAGCAGCAGCAGCAGCAGACAGCAGCGGCGGCGGCAGCGGCGGCGGCAGCATGGAGCAGTCTCGCGAAAGTGAGGTTTGCGCCCCGTCCGTCCCGCCTGTCAGGACGCTGCGATGGAAACACAGACGGCACTCGGAGCGCGCCCAGCTGTCAAGAGGGGAACCCGGATCGTGTCACCCGATAGTTACAACAACGAAAATAAATAAATAAAGATAACCCCCCTCCCCTGCCCCTCCGCCCCCCCCCACACCCACCCCATCGCGGTTTCTAAGAAGAGCCTCTTGCGGCCTGTGACCCCAAAGCAGCCAGCCGCAGCACAAGAACGGGGGGGGGGGGGGGGTGGTGGTAAGGGTGGCCGGTGGTAAAGATCACAGCGGCAGCACCAGGTGAGAGAAAGATAAATCGTGCCCACAGTGGTTTGTGGTCTGCCACAAGAACTCGCCGAGCCGGCGTTTGGTTCGCGGCCATGGCCTGACGAGACAGAAAGACGACGACACACACTCGCGGATTACACGACGCGGCTCTTCTGAGGCACGCTCGGCACCGCGAGCGTTCGGTATCGCCGCCACCCCTCGTCGTCTCGACTGAGCCGACGTCGGAATCGTGGTGGGCCCCCCCCACCACCACCACCACCACCACCGCTCGCCTCCTCCCTCCCCCCACACCGACGCCCCCTAACCCGACCGTCGACCGCGATGAGACCGCGAGGCTCGGAGAGCAGCCGTGGAATGCCCGGGGCCACGACTTCTAGCACTGTTTTTGTTTTGGTCGCCGCGTTTTTTGGCAATTGAGAGGGCGAGTCCCGAACAGCAACACAACTTTACGCCCAAGTGTCATTAGTTCTGGATCGTCGTTACGAGCGTAGTCGTAACCCACCCGCCCCCGCCCCCCTTTAAAGGATGGGCGGGGATCAGCTGTTGCATGAACGCTTGGAAAGCATTAAGAATAATAACGAGGGGAGTGGTGGCACTTTGGATTGTGCTCTGCTATGAGAACACGGTGGCCGGAGTTTGATTCCCAGCCGTGGCAAATATCTGAACCAGCCCTGGGCACCCTCCCACCTTCGCCAACTGGCACCGATCAGCCTGGTGAAGTATGGCCAAGAGGGCTATATACTGATACTGATACATTAAGGGATGATAGGGATGATAGGGATGATGATGTTGTTTATGACGATGATGGTAATGGGTGGTGATGATGATGCTTATGACGATGATGATGATGATGATGTTAATGATGACGATGATGATGGCCAGAGTTGGGCTGTGACGGATCCTTCAACTCGCAACCGTGGGTCGGTTCGTATGAGGATGGAGCGACAGGTAAAGGAGCGGAATTCCACCGTGGGGTCGTGCGAGGAGGAGAGGACAGAGCCAAGGAGAAGGAGGAGATGGCAACGAGGAAACGTGTCCCATCGTGCAGAATAGAAAAATCTGGGCAGGATCGAGAGGCCCGCAGCTCCTGGCAGCAACAATCGCGATGACAGAGGCGGCGCATTAAACAATATCTGCGTAAAACACGCACAGAAAAAGAGGCACCGCATTACCTGCACTAACACACACACACCGCAGTTTTCCATCGTGACGTCTCGTCATAGAATCCCGTGACCCACGATGATTGCCGGGGGCCTGGCGGTCACGGTGGCGTGCTCGCCCGCTCGCCCGGACGCTTGCCTGCCAGCCCGCCCGCTCGCCAAAAACTGCCCGGGCATCCACTCGCCGTTTGCCGAACTTCGCTCACTCGCTCGCCCGCTGTACCG